AAGCCACGCCCACCTTCAGGTGCTCCAGGTGCTGTCGAGCCTCGTGGGCGTGGCCAAGGGGGTCCAGCGCCGAGAGCAGCAGCGATAGGGTGAGCAGGCAGCCTGGCCACGCCCACGGGGGAGTCAGGCCACGCCCACCCGGCAGGTGGCGCGGCTGGGGTTATACTGGGAGGGACTGGGAGGGACTGGGAGGGGATTGGGAGGGACTGGGAGGGACTGGGAGAGTGTTTGAGGGTTACTGGGTTATACTGGGAGAAACTGGGAGGGGACTGGGAGGGACTGGGAGGGTGGTTGAGGGTTACTGGGTTATACTGGGAGGGACGGGGAGAGACTGGGAGGGACTGGTTTATACTGGGAGGGGATTGGGAGGGACTGGGAGGGACTGGGTGGGTGTTTGAGAGTTACTGGGTTATACTGGGAGGGTCTGGGAGGGGACTGGGAGGGACTGGGAGAGACTGGGAGGGAACTGGGAGGGGATTGGGAGGGACTGGGAGGGGACTGGGAGAGTGGATTATACTGGGAGGGGACTGGGTGAGACTGGGAGGTACTGGGGGGGGCACTGGTGTGGACTGGGAGTGGATTGAACGGCACTGGGATGGACTGGGAGTGGACTGGTCTGTACTGGTGGTCACTGGGAGAAGAACTGGGAGTGGCCTTGGACAGGACTGGGAGGGACTGGGAGGGACTGGGAGTCACTGGGAGACTGGGAGGGACTGGGATGGACTGGGACAGACTGGGAGGCACTGGGATGGACTGGGATGGACTGGGATAGACTGGGATGGACTGACAGTCACTGGGAGACATTGGGAGCACTGGGATGGAGTGGGAGGCGCTGGGATGAACTGGGAGGGACTGGGATGCACTGGTGTGAACTGGTGCCTGTGGCTCCGCCCCCCGTGGGGCGGGGCTGGGGGGGGAGTGGGCGTGGCCTCACCTCGGCTCCGGGGCTCCAGTTCCAGCAGCTCTCGGCAGGTCTCCACCTGCTCCCGCAGCACCTGCGGGTCGGCCACGCCCACCTCGGGCCTGAGGGGGCGGGGTTTGGTCGGAAATGGGCGGGGTTTGGTCGGGAAGGGGCGTGGTTTAGCTAAAAGGGGCGTGGCTTGAGCCCCGTGTCGGGATAGAAGCAAAGGGGGGGATAAAGGAGGGTCAAAGTGGGTGGGGCTTAATCAAAGGGGCGTGGTTTAGCCGTGGGGGCGTGGCTTAGCACCAAAGGGGCATGGTTTAGTCAGAGGGGCGTGGCTTAGCAGCAAAGGGGTGTGGTTTAGTCAGAAAGGGGCGTGGCTTGCCCTGCCAAGGGAGGGCTGAGGCAAGGTCCAGGTGGGCGGGGCTTCACCGAGGGGGCGTGGCTTTCTCTAAAAGGGGACGTGGCTTGCTCCCAAGGGGGCGTGGCTTACCAAAACAGCTCCCGGGCCACGATTGGCTCCTGCCACCAGGCCTCGTCCTGGTCTAGGAGAGAAAGGGGCGTGGCCAGGGTGAAAGGGGCGTGGCTCGGAGGGAGTGGGCGTGGCCTGGGCGCGGCTCTCACCTGGGAGCAGCGTCACCTGGCGGTGGGCGGAGTCAGGCGCCCAGG